AAAGAATTCCAAAGGATGTATAATTGGTAATATAATATTTCCCCTCCATTTGTTTGAGAGAAATAATTTTTATTTGCCTGTCAAAACTTATTAATAGTTGAAGAGTTTAGTGAATGAACCAGGTATGTGACATTTTTGAAGTGGCTATGATCAGGGTAAGAAAAACAATGGAATACGAACTCTTTCGTTATAGATTTATTAGAAGGCAGGGTTAATAATTATTTTTTTATAGATTTATTAGAAGGCAGGGTTAATAATTTTTTGCCTTCTTTAATTTACCACTACCTAATTTGAAATAAAAATCCTGTAAGCATGCTCAAAACTAACGTCTATTAGTTGCGTTAAACCTAAAGGGAAAGCAAAACCGATTCTGATACAATTTACATACACATATTTATGTGACTATTTTTTGTTCTTTTATTTTATTAATAAATACCTCAGGAAATTTCACTTACCTGCTTTAGCCACTAAGACCTTTATTTATAACTTAGCTCATAAGAAATGTCACAAACTATTATACTTATAACAAAGAAAGTTAAAGGGTAGTTTACTTTTTCTGAAAAAAGAGAGAAATAAAATAGTCCTTCTACAATCTTTTTTTTTATCTTTTCAAAATAATTAGTAGACCTGTGACAGTGACGCTTGGCGGGTTGGAGTGATAACAATTAATTAAATAAAAGTAATATTTGTAATAAAGCCTATTTGAGTATTTTTACACACAAATAAAAATGACATTATCTTCAATTTGATAAGTTAGAAAAGGGAGTTTTTTCGTAGAAACCCCATTGCCGCTAAGCTAACTGTGGAAGGTTTTCGTGGTTTTCCACTCCATGTAACAAAAATGTGGGTTAGTTCCATCAAAAGTCCCCCACGAAGGCAAAATCTTTTTTCTCTCAAAATTAAGCCATTACAATTCTGCAATCAGCAATTTTTCAAATATATTTAAATATTTAACAGTTATTAGTTTTCAGATTTTTGAAAAGTATCTTTATTTTTGTGCAATTAGCGTTAAAAGAAATTTTTAGCGATCGTCATCCAAATAGCTTTTCATTAATTTAAGCTGTAATAAGATTAGATTTTATAAAATCTAAAAACTGTAAAATGTGTAGTTTTAACAATACTTACTCAAAACCGTAAATCGCATCATTTTATTGCTTTAAAGTTTTAAGGGAAAATTCATAGAAGCTCTAAAAATTATCCATCGTTATTTCTCTTAATCTTATAAAGCGACCCCTTTATTTTTTGCCCATTTGCCTAATAATACTACATCATCAAAATTTTGTCAAATGTGAAAAAAAAAGCAAAGAAAACTAGAAAACACATTTTAAAAATTTAACCTGGAGTCCAAGATAGCGATGGTAGAGACCACTTAAGCGACCTTTTCTAACCTGGTGGTTATGATTTGAACTATTTTTTTTTATAAAAATTGTTCATATATCGTGTATATTTTATTTTATATTTTATAACCGTCATTGAACAGCTGACTCAATTTTTGAACAGCTGACGACTACTAACCTTGTAATTCAACTACGTAACCTTGTAATTTCAAACCCAATCCAGAAGACAAAGGAACTCCATGATTAAGTATTGGGAGAAATTTGCCTTAATGGAGGTCTTTTTGATGGATCTAACCGGCATTTGCGTTACATGGAGAGAAAGACCACGAGAACCTTCCATGGTTAGCCTGACGGTAAGGGGACTCTAACCCATGATCCGTCTACCACTGAGGATATTTCACGTCAGCACTGTGGTCGGTGCAAGCCGGATGCGGAACTAGTATCGACCAGCCATCACTGGGATTTGAATTCGGTTCACCTCATTGGAAGGAGAACGCCTTGAGCCATCAAGACTCTTATATCGTGTATATTAAATTTAGATAACATTCGCCATCTATAACGAACACTGTTCTGTTCTAGACAAGGTCACTTCAATTATAACTACCCTGTACTATAACGTAAAAATTATTTACATACGATTCATTCAATCAATTGCTGTAGGTAAATTTATCATATAGAGTAAAAGATTGCATATAACTTCCGATTATTTATTTGGAAACATTGTTATCACTCAAAAACTCAAAGCATGCGTCTATCTTTACTTTCTTCGATTCTTCCATCTATTTACTCGCTCATTTACTCACCCATTTTCTTACTATACAAGGAATCATTAAAAGTTATCGCTTGATAAACAAACTGAATAAATAATAATAATATTAATAAAACAAACGGTCGTCATAGGAACGGAAAATTCTAATGTCAAGCGACTTTTTCTCACCTAGTGGTTGCAATTCGAACTGTTCATTATCACAGATATTTTTGTACCGTTGTCCACTTATCATCTTTCAACTTTCTATTACAATCGTCATCTATAGCAGACTCTTTCTTGTGCTAAACAAGGTAGATTCAATTATGACTTTTCTGTAGTATTACACCAAAGAATAATTGAAGTGAAAGTTTGGTATCATAAATGTGATTTTATTAAAAAATTATTTGCATTCGCTTTATTCAATCTATCGCTGTAAGAAAATTTATAATGTTGAATAAAAGATTCATATAAATTCCGATTGTTTGAGTCGAAAAATCAGAATTAAAAAGAAAAGAAAAAAAAAACAACTATCGTTGTAGTGACGGAAAATTTTAATATTAAGCAATCTTTTCTCACCTGGTGTTAGCAATTTGAACTATTTATTATTGCATATCTTTTTAAACCGTTATATAATTATCACGTGTACCAAATTTAAATTACATTCGTCATCTATAACGAACTCTTTGTTCTAAACAAGGTAGATTCAATTATAACCACCATGTAGTATTACACAAAAGAATAACTGATGCAAAAGTTTTATGCCATAAACATCATTTCACGCAAAATTGATTTACATACGCTTTATTCAAACAATTGCTGTAGGTAATTGTAACAAAGACATTGCTATAATTGACTCTATCCTGTTCTAAACAAGGTAACTTTAATTATCACCACCCTATACTGTTACATTGAAGAATAATTGATGCAAAAGCTTTATGTCATAAATATGATTTCACGCAAATATTATTGACATACATTTTATTCAGTCAACCGTTGTAGGTAAATTGCTAACAATATGTGTAGGTAATTGCAATAAAGACAGCGCTATAACGGATTCTATCTTGTTCTAAACAAGGTAACTTTAATTCTCACCATCTTGTACTATTACATTGAAGAATAATTGATGCAAAAGCTTTATGTCATAAATATGATTTCACGCAAATTTTTTTTTATACGTTTTATTCAATCAACCGTTGTAGGTAAATTGCTAACAATGGGTGTAGGAAATTGCAACAAAGACAGCACTGTAACGTATTCTATCTTGTTCAAAACAAGGTAACTTTAATTATCACCATCCTGTACTATTACATCGAAGAATAATTGATGCAAAAGCTGTATGTCATAAATATGATTTCACGCGAAAAATATTTCCATACACTTTATTCTATCAACCGCTGAAGGTAAATTGTTAACAATAGGTGTAGATAATTACGACAAAGACAGCGCTATAGCGAACTCTAATCTTGTTCTAAACAAGGTAACTTTAATTATCAACACCCTGTACTATTACATTGAAGAATAATTGACGCAAAAGCTTTATGTCATAAATATGATTTCACGCAAAAATTATTTACGTACGTTTTATTCAATCAACCGTTGTAGGAAAATTGCTAACAATAGGTGTAGGTAATTGCAACAAAGACAGCGCTATAACGGATTCTATCTTGTTCTAAACAAGGTAACTTTAATTATCACCTCCCTGAACTATTACATTGAAGAATAATTGATGAAAAGTTTTATGTCATAAATATGATTTCTCGCAAAAAATATTTCCATATTCAATCAACCGTTGAAGGTAAATTGTTAACAATAGGCGTAGTTAATTGCAACAAAGACACTGCTATAACAAACTCTATCTTGTTCTAAACAAGGTAACTTTAATTATCACCACCCTGTACTATTACATTGAAGAATAATTGATGCAAAAGCTTTATGTCATAAATATGATTTCTCGCAAGAAATATATCCATATTCAATCAACCGCTGAAGGTAAATTGTTAACAATATTTGTAGGTAATTGCAACAAAGACAGCGCTATAACGGATTCTATCTTGTTCTAAACAAGGTAACTTTAATTATCACCAAACTGTACTATTACATTGAAGAATAATTGATGCAAAAGCTTTATGTCAAAAATATGATTTCTCGCAAGAAATATATCCATATTCAATCAACCGCTGAAGGTAAATTGTTAACAATATTTGTAGGTAATTGCAACAAAGACAGCGTTATAACGGATTCTATCTTGTTCTAAACAAGGTAACTTTAATTATCACCACCCTGTACTATTACATTGAAGAATAATTGATGCAAAAGCTTTATGTCAAAAATATGATTTCTCTCAAGAAATATATCCATATTCAATCAACAGCTGAAGGTAAATTGTTAACAATATTTGTAGGTAATTGCAACAAAGACAGTGCTATAACGGATTCTATCTTGTTCTAAACAAGGTAACTTTAATTATCACCACCCTGTACTATTACATTGAAGAATAATTGATGCAAAAGCTTTATGTCATAAATATGATTTCTCGCAAAAATTATTTACATACGTTTTATTCAATCAACCGTTGTAGGTAAATTGCTAACAATAGGTGTAGGTAATTGCAACAAAGACAGCGCTATAACGGATTCTATCTTGTTCTAAACAAGGTAACTTTAATTATCACCACCCTGAACTATTACATTGAAGAATAATTGATGCAAAAGCTTTATGTCATAAATATGATTTCACGCAAAAATTATTTACATACGCTTCAATCAGTCAACCGCTGTAGGTAAATTTATCATATTAAATAAAAGATTGCATATAACTTCCGATTATTTGTTTCGAAAGATTGTTATCACTCAAAAACTCAAAGTATACTTCAATTGTTTTTTAAGAGAAGAGCTCAAAATGATATCTCAAATGGTTCTCTTTAGGAATGCCTTTCGAGGATAAAATTAGAGATAAGCTGAAATTTTTTGTAATAATCACCAAGCAAAACTTCTTTGTTAGCTGACAAAACACGTGCACTGACTGACGGTTTTCTACACCTGTGTTTTAGAATTTTTCTACTGATGACACCCTATTTGTTTATTGTGAAGTGTTCTAATTAGTATTTATTCTTTTTTAAAACTGTGTTACTAATTAATGATGTGGTGATGAAATTTTGAATATTTGATTACTGTTTCTGAACATTTTTTAAAAATGTCCATTGAACATGCAGAGGCTGCTTATGAAAGTCTACGATTGGAACGTTTGAATGTACAGAAAAAAACATTTACAAAATGGGCTAATCTACATTTGCAAAAGGTAAGTGAATGTGATGTAAGTTATTATAGAAAGAAAATTTGCAATGGATTAACAACCAAAGTTTAGTTGTCTGCTTAAAGCTTAATTGCCCCTAACGTATCAGTTCTAAATTCAAAGTATAAGTTATCCGGCATCTCTAATTTTTGTAGAGAAAGGAAAACGAAAAAACCACATAGGAATTATACAGGAAAAGTGTGGTAAAACTGTTTTATTAACAGTTATTTTTCTTATTTAACTAACTTATTTTCCATACATTAGGACAAGTAAATATTTAGTGATAACCATTTTTCCACTAAATTATAACTTACATATTTATAACTTACATAATTGTAACTTACTTGAGAAACCTTGAGGAAGTAAATGTATGAAGAATTTAGTGGATGAAGTAGGATGATCTTAATTAAAATATCTTATTTCCTCTAAATGAGTTCATACGTTATAGTGCTATCATTTTAAACTATTTTAAAGCCATGTCCAAAAATTTCAACGCTTTATTTGCTGCTTGATTTATTTGAACTCTTTATTTGCTGCTTGATTTGCTTCAACTCTTTATTTTATTGCAATTATGCCAACTTCATACCAGCCAACTTTCACTCTTTCCTAGAATGGATTTTCCTAAAAGTGGTGAAACAATTACCAAAAAAAAAAAGAGAAAAAAAGAAAACAATCTTACTTAAAAATATATTTATAATTTGAAAAGGTTAACATTCGCCATCTTTGTTGTTGCTTCTATTTCCACTGGCCAATACCAGCAAGCCTGTTTGGTGAAACCAAACAAATTTAAGGCAGAAGGTGCGTTTCTTGTTTTTCAGTGGTGCCATCTATAGTCGAGAATACGACTTCAGCCACACACACGTCACTGCCCGTTTATAGGGCCGACCATTCATACGTCCATTCATTCATCCACAGATCGCAATTTTGACCTGAACCAGTGAGCGATCAATTTCCAATTCAGTACTTTAGAGGTATGATGTATTAGGAGAACATGGAGGACTTTGCGACACAACATATGTAGCGTGCATCAGTGACTATTTTCTACACGGGGAGTCTTCGGCCGGCTGGAATAGAATTGACGACATTTTGGTCCTACCAACCTGGCTATCCCGGCTATCGTTAAGACTATTATACTTTTATATATTTGTTGTAATTATTTATACGTAGTGGTGGTCAGACTCTTTTATGATTATTATTATAATTCAGAAAGTTTAATGTAAACAAGAGTCTCGCTACCACTTTAGGTATGAAAATAAAATCTTCCGAACCCCCTTCCCCCTAAAGAGTTGGCAGCTATGCATCTTGAACTGTCTTCATGAAAAATGTGAGGTTTACTTACATTTAGATTGAATATTTTCGTCTGTTAGCTAATATTTCACAAGGTTTTCATGGCCTTTGATATTCTTGTAAAACTGGTGACAAATTGTTATATTTTAAAACATTTGTGACCACAGCTGCATGCAATTTTTTAAGGAAAATAAGTTTGTATCTGAAAAATTATCTTGTTAAATATAAGATTCTCATTAATCTTGAAACTTTAATTCGACATTTTACGTTTTACCATTTAAGGATCGCACAGTTTTTATACTGATTTATTATATTTTTATATTGACACATAATGTGCCCGGTGGCTCAGGGGATAAAGCGTTCGCCACCGAATGAGATGGAACAGGTTCGAATCCCAGGGGTGGCTACCTGATACCTCTTCTGCTTCCGGCTCGCAACGATCACAGTGTTGACGTAAAATATTCTCAGTGGTAAACGGATCCTGGGTTAGAATACCCTCACGCTAAAACTGGAAGTTTTTCGTAGTTTTTCTCACCATGTAACGCAAACGTGGGTTATTTAATTGAAAAGTCATCCACGATAGCCTGTTTGTCTCAATGTTTGATCCAGGAGTTACCTTGTTTTCTGGGTTTGGTTCAAAATTACAAGGTTGCATATTTAGACAATGAAATTTGTAAACTCAGAATTGGGTCGGCTGTTGAAAAAAAATTTCAATAAGTAAATTTAAAAAAAAAGCGTATAGTGGTGGTCGCATATGTATTAAATCATCCATGAACATTTCCCTCTTTTGACGGGAGATTTTTCTCAGATTTATTGTTAAGTGGTATGAATAACTATGCTTTGCAAAAGCATATTTGGTTTAACAAATTTGATTGACAATGAAATTGACTACAGCTATATCTAAACAGTTTTAAGAAATATATAAAACCCGATAAGTATATTGTGAAGTTTTTATGTGCTGGCATACAAGTGCTGGCATCAAGTAGCAATGAAGCTGAGCTTCATTGTTACTTGACTACCCTTCAAATTTTGTGGGTTAACATGTATAATTAAATGATTGAGACTAGTCTTGGTTTTTACGCTTTTAAAAATTTTCATAGTCCATGCAAGCATTGTATTTAGCATGAATTTATTTTTGAATTAAAAAATTAATCATTCTGTGCATAAAAAGTTTTTTTCGTTGAAATCGTTCAAAAGATAAGGGGAAATTGCAAAAAATCAAATTTAGAGAAATAATGTTTTTTTTGTTGCCTGATTTCGTAACTTAAAATATGGTCTGCACTTATTAATTAGAATATTAAGGCTATTCTCTCGAAATATTAAGATTGATTGTCAGTACATTATAATCAAAGTTTTAGCTCAAACGTTATGAGTATAAACACTTTTCATTTTTCACAATGTTCAATAATATTTATACATTATAAATACATTTATATCTCTGGTCATTTTTTTAAAAAATCAAATGATCATAAGAATAATTTTAAAAACTGAAACAAATGTGTTGTCCACTTTTTTACTAAGTAGAGATATGTCATTTTCTTAAATTAAAATTTTAAGCTATAACCATTTTTCTAAATACGCATTTTGAGGCAGGCTCATTTTCTTAAACGTAAATTTTGAGCTATATCCATTTTCTTAAACACTCAAGTAAAGTCCATTTCTTTAAAGTATGCATTTTGAGTTATGCTTTAACCCGTTTTGTCCCCACTTTATATATGAAAATGATACAAAAAGTGGTTTTATGGAAAAAGTGGTTTAATATATTATCGAAGTTAATTGGTTTTTCCACTGTTATGGCATTCAAAAAGTCTTTGATAGATCAAAAAGTACTTGTTCCTTACAATTCTTGATCTAATCAGAAATAACTAAATCATTGTGGTATCTGAGAATTTTTTAATTCACCCAGATAAATGAAAATGCTGAAAAAAGTTTCCCACCACAATGAATGTCTTTGAAAAAAGGAATTGTCCTAAATATATGACGCTGGGCGTTAACCGGTTAATAAAAAGTAGTTGCTCATTTATTTTTTATTTACCTGCACTCTTGATTATTATTAATCAATTAACTCAGAATAAGCTCTTAAACCATTAAGATGGAGTGCCGTAAAAATTTGATCTTAAGATCAAAAGTTATTCAGGGTGTTCGTTCTTTTTAAATTTTATTTTCGTGCACTATACGTTATAACCATTAACCCTTTCGCGCCGACTGTCACAAATACGTGACAGGAAAAAACCGTATCAATCAGGGTAAAGAGATAAAACTGGTAATCAAAGTATTTCTTTAGCAGTTTATTTGTGGGCGGAGTTATAATTGTTTGATTTATTTAATTCACCATTACTTTGCTCAAACTAAAACTATTTAGTTATACTTTGAATTAACATTGATTATATATATGATTAAACTAATAATAATTAAAATAAAAGCAAAGTAAGTCTGTCAAATTAGCAAAGACTACATTTAAGTTACCGTTTTTTATTTAATTGCAACTTGATTCTGATTTTGTACGAATGCTTTTCTGAATCACCCGTCCCCAAGGGGTTAAAGTCAATTGAAATGGTTAATCTACACTATCTACCAATAAGTATTTGGACACCCATGCAAATGACTATATCTGTGGTCCTGAGATACGTCACGCCCTCCGCTGGTATATATTGTGTAGGGAGCAACATGGGCATTAGTCCCATGCATGATGCCTACTGCACTATTTTGGATGACAATGTGCTTCCTACGTTGTGGCAGTTTTACGGGATGGACCCCTGTTACTTCCAGGACGACAATGCAAGCTGTCATGTTACGAGGGTCACCAAGGCTTGGTATGGTGCCAATGGGGTTAATCGAATGGACTGGCCAGCCCAGAGCCCAGATCTGAACCCTATCGAGGACCTCTGGGACGAGTTGGATAGCTGAATTAAGGGGTGTACTACTAGTCCAAAATCGGTGAAGGAACTTACATGTCTTCTCCAAGCCGAGTGGAAGAAAATACCTCCAGCCGTCCCACAAGGACTTGTGGAAAGTATGCCCCGGAGGGTTCACGTTGTAATTGCCTGTCGTGGAGGCTGCACCAACTATTGATTATGAATAAAGTTTGCCTTTCTTTTCAATCACACGTGTCCAAATACTTATTGGTAGATAATGTATAACTTCAACTTCAAATTTTAACCAGGCGCCTGAGGCCGAGAAGCGACCCTTACCTGTTAATTTTTCAGAAGAGGAAATCTATTAACCGGTTAACGCCCAGCGTCATATAATTATGACAGTTCCTTTTTTCAAAAACATTCATTGTGGGGGGAAACTTTTTTCAGTATTTTCATTTATCTGGGTGAATTAAAGGATTCTCAGATGCCACAATGCTTTAGTTATTTCTGATTAGATCTAAAATTCTAAGAAACAAGTACTTTTTGATCTTTCAAAGACTTTTTGAATGCCTTAACAGTAGAAAAACCAATTAATTTCGATAATATATTATACCACTTTTTCCATAAAACCACTTTTTGTATCATTTCAATTTATATATTCGGGACAAAACGGGTTAATCGTTTCGAGGATGATTGAATTACAATTGTAAGCAGAAATATTTTTAAAATTTTATCTATTTTTCTTTTTTACTTTTGCAAGACCATAACACACAGAGATGCTAACTGCTCCGGATTCGACAAAATATTTTTAAAAAACTGTGAACTACGAACGAAAATTTGCAACTCTTCGGTTGATTTCGCTAA